TTAGTAAAATTTTACTTGCATGGGATATTAATGATATTATCCAATTATTTCAGTATCCTGTTTGGGTCACCCTTCTTTGGAATAAGCACAAATATGGATCTCTTCCAATTGGTTGGTCAGGTAGCTGTTTTCCACATTTTTTGGCATAGATAAGTGAGTACCGCCAGTGCTGCATCAGTTTGTTGAAAGATTTCAATTTGTATTCCATCAATTCTCAGAGCCTTGTTCTTTGTCAATGCCTTCAATACATCTTGCACTTCTTCTTTCACTACCATTGGCTCTTGATCATATGTTACCTCTTGAAATGGTTCAACATTAACCATTTCTTTTGGGTATAGTAACTCTGTTTGTTCTTTCGATCTTTTTTTGCTGTTTGTATCATTCAATATTTTGCCCATAGAATCCTTCAAAACTGCATGTCGAGGCTTAATGTTTTTTCTTCAGTTCCCTAATCTTGAGAAATGTTGAGCATTTTCTTCCCCTTGGGTGTTCTAACTCCAGGTCTTTGCATATTTTGTTTTAAGATTTGACTTTGTCTTCTCTAGTTGCTCTTTGAAATTTTCTGTTCAGTTCTTTTATCTCCTCATTTGTTCCATTTGCTTTAGCATCTCTATGCTGGAGAGCAAGTTTCAGAGTCTCTTCTGACATCCTTTTTGTTCTTTTCCTCCTTTCTTGTCTTCTTACTGACCTTTTTCTTTCTTCTTGTATGCTATTCTTGATGTCATCCCACAACTCTTCTGGTCTTAAGTGTCTAATGCTTCAAATCTGCTCTTCAGATGATCTCTAAATTCAGGTGGCATATGTTTAAGATCATATTTTGGTTCTTGTGGACTTGTTTTAATTTTCTTCAGCTTCAGCCTGAACTTGCATATGAGCAATTGATGGTCTGTACCACAGTCTGCCCTGGGCCTTGTTTTGACTGATGATACGGAGCTTTTCTACCGTCTCGTTCCACAGATATAGTCGATTTTATTTCTGTGTATTCCATCTGGTGAGGTCCATGTGTATAGTAGTCTTTTATGTTGTTTTAAAAAAGTATTTGCAATAACAATTCATTGTTCTAGAAAAATTCTATTATGCAATGTCTGGCATCATTTTTATCACCAAGACCATGTTTTCCAACTACCGATCCTTACTCTGTTTCCAACCTTTATATTCCAGTCACCAGTAATTATCAATACATCTTGATTGCATGTTTGATCAATTTCAGACTAAAAAAGTTGGTAGAATCCTTCAATTTCATCATCACTGGTTTTAGTGGTTTGGGCATAAATTTGAATAATAGTGGTATTAATTGGTCTTTCTTACTGGCATATGGATATTATCCATACACAGATCTTGAATATTCTTTTTGATGATGAATGCTACACCATTTTCTTCAATTTATTATTCCCAGCATAGTAAGCCATGTGATTGCCAGATTCAGAATGGCCAATACCAGTCCCTTGCAGCTCACTAATGCCTAGGATATTGATGTTTATGCATTCCATTTCATTTTTGACAGTTTCCCTAGATTCATACACGTACATTCCATGTTCTGATTATTAATGGATGTTTACAGCTGTTTCACTTCGTTTTGAGTTTTGCCCCATCAGCAAATGAAGGTCCCAAAAGCATTACTCCATTTGTGTCATCACAGTCAACTCTACTTTGAGGAGGCAGCTCTTTCCTAGTCGTGTTTTGAATGCCTTCCAATCTGAGGGTCTCATCTTCCAGCACTATATCTGACAATATTCTAGTGCTCCTCATCGTGTTTCAATATTCAGTATTCTGGTGCTATCTGGCAGTGTTCCACTACTATTCATAAATATTCAGAAGTACTCTGCCTCTCCTTCTTCCTAGTCTGACTTCATCTGGAAGCTCAGCTGAAGCCTGTCCACCATAGGTGACCCTGCTGATTGTTATATAAAATACTCATGGCATAGCTTCCAAAATCACAGCAACATGCAAGTCACCACAGCATGACAAACTGACAGACAGCAACAGGCTCAAGTGTAACAGCAATTATGAGGATCAGACAGTGATTTTTCCTTTTGAGCATCGAGGGTCGCTATAAGTTGAAATCAACTCAACAGCACTTAACAACAACTGGGGTTAGAACTTCAACATACTCTGTCCATAACTGTGATTCTCAGATAAACACTAACCTGTAGGAACACACAATTCATATCATGCCTCTGCAAAATGCCAAATTACTATGTATCATGGAATTTTTGGAGAGTCAAAATCTCACATATTAACTTCACAAATTTCAAGAGATTCTTCTGTGGCCAGAAGTGGGCAGAAGAAGAAGGCTGTCAGTTATCGGGAAGTTGGAAATGTACATAGATGCTTGATTTCTACTACTATCCATGGTTTATAGAGAGTAGCTTCAGAAAAATTGCTCATAATAACTGCAAATAACCTACTTGAGTATGTCTTCTCCTCACTTATCGAATATCTCATTATCTGACATTTTATATTTATGACAATAGTAAAAAAATCCTCTATCCAATTATTTTGCACAAAAACAAAGTACAAGTGGCTGTAACAAACGCAAAGTTGTGAGGTGAGTCACCCTGGTTGTGATTGTGAAGGTTGTGTATCCACTTGACTGGACCAAGATTTTCAATGGTTTGGCAGTTGTGTATTGATGTGATCAGCCTGAATTTTTAATTAACCCTATATGGTATTGTAGTGGTTACAAATCAGGCAGCTAACCTCAGAGTCAGCAGTTCGAAATTGCCAGCTATTCCACGGGAGAAAGATGAGGCTTTCTCCGCCTATAAAGAATTACAGACTCGGAAACCCTGTACAGGGTCGCCATGGAACCAACTCCACAGCACCTAACAACAACAACAACATATTCACATAAAGGAGCTCTGGTAGTGTAGTGGTTATGAATCGGGCTGCGAAACACAAGGTCAGCAGTTTGAAACTACCAGCTGTTCTGGAGAAAGATGAGACTTTCTGCTCCTGTAAAGATTTACAGCCTCGGAAACCCTGTACAGGGTCGTTATGAGTCAGAACCAACTCCACGACACATAACCACCACCACCACATTCATATAGGAGTCCTGGTGTGGCGCTGTGGGTTAATGTGCTGGACTTCAAAGTTGGTTTGAACCACAAGGTTGACAGTTCAAGTTCACCAGCAGCTCCCTGGAAACCCTGTACAGGGTCGCTATGGGTCCAAACCGACTTAACATCGCTTAACAACAACAATATAGTCACATAATGACCTGGTCTCCTAATTATGCCAATAAGTGAGGAGTGGGTGTACTTCAGGTTTCCATGATTTATTCTCATGAGCATGATTCTGATAGCAATCCTGCAATATTTGATCTTGGTTTAACAGATGAAGAAACCAAACCATGGCAAGTGAAGCAGGCTTTCCCAAGAATGTAGTTAGTAGTTTACTTCAGCCTGATGCCAAACTAAGTTCTTCCCAAACTAAGTGATATCAGTAAGACTGGGGTCAAGGACGTCTTGCCTGCATTTCAGTGGACTTTCCAAGGGCAGGTAGAAAGAATCAGTAGGAAAGAGGTTAAGGACTGGTGAATGGAAGTAGATGAGGATCAAGATGAAGCATTTGAGCCTACAAATCTGCTTTGGAGACTTGGAATGAAGGGAGATGAAGAGCAGGAAGTAGAAGGGAAAGCTGGAGAATGGAAGACCACTGGTGGGGAAACAGATGAGGCAGGCAGGTGGGTCCTGGGTTGCTGTGGAATGTAGGTGTGGATACGAAGGTGCTAGAATACCTGATTCTTCATTTTCTTTCCTGAACACCTGATGCATCTCCACATAGCTGCAGTCAGGCCATCGCTGGATTTGTTATGAGGCTATCTGTCCTCTGACTTTAGCTTGGCTGCAGAATCATGAGGTGAACAGGAAATCCCACAGATCAGAAGCTGTCCTTTCCATTCGTTGGACAGCAGAAAAGCAGCCTGTCCTGGGTACAGACAGAATGGGGGACCATCCAGGCAAAAATTTACAAACAGTAATAAAACTGTCCAACAGTCAGCCTGCTTTTTATTATCACCATGTTCTGGCAGTTCTAAACAATGTCAGTGATAAAACACTCCTCACTCCTCCAGTGAAACCACTGTCACTGTCCCTCCCCCACCCCCCAGCTCTCCTTCTGCTGTCTCTGCTGCTGCTTCTGTCTCCTAGCTGAGCCGGTGCTTCAAGCCTGCTTGTAAGTGGTTTCAGGAGAGAAACTCAAGCCAGCAACAGCCCGGTCACAGCTGCCTCTGCTGATTCCTCCCCACGCACTACTCTGAGTTTCCCGAGCAGCAACAGCCAGGAAGAGATGAGTCTGTGCCCAAAAGCCCTGCCCAGGCATCCCAAGGACCACTTGGAGGCTTCTGCTATTCCCTAAAGCTGCTCACTGCTCACAGCTGTCAGTGACCGCTCCAGGACTGTGATTCAGGTGGCCTCCCCATTCATTCAAACTGCAGTCTCAGTGTTGGAAGGAGCTGTGGAGCCCTTGTTCAAGGGCTGTGGAGACTTCTGGGTTATACTTCTGTTGGTTCCCAGCCATGTCATTATGGTCTCTGTCGTGAGTGGGAACTTCACTCCTCTTGAGACACTTCTATCTGGGCCCCGACAATTAGCAAATTCTTCCATCTTCGCTAATGAAATGTTCTTCTCTATGCTGATTCTAACCCTTTGGTGTTAAGTACAGCAAGGCTAGTCCATCTTCCACAGATCTACATATTCAAGAGCAACTCTCAGTTTACATCAGGTCTTCTCTTTCCTAGTTTAAAGCAACTCAGTTGAGTCTGCAGCACTTTCTCCATGTCAGGGAGTGTTGTTCCTACATCAGCTCATATCACCCTCTGAGGATGCCCAACCAGTGGAACAACTGCTCTTACCCAGCATGCCCTAGGCTGGGTAGTGCAGACTCTCACCATGTGTTTAGGCCTAGGATTCCCTGGCCTGTCTGCCTTCCTGTTTCCTATGCCCTCTCTCCTCCAGGGGAGGCAAAGCAGTAAAAAGAGGGTTATGACTGTGTTGCAGAAATCTCCTTCAGAGTGTGGATGTGTGGCGGCAGCTTAGAGATCATCCCCTGCAGCAGAGTCGGGCATGTCTTCCGGAAGAAGCACCCATATGTTTTCCCGGATGGAAATGCCAACACTTACATAAAGTAAGTGAGCGTCCGCGTCCAGGGGTGAGGGCCACCATGGGCAGAAGGTTTCTGGTGGTGGGTTGCGGCTGTAATGGTGTTCTGTTAGGTTGCCTGAGTGTACCTGGCACAGCCTGAGCGGGAGGTCTGCCCACCACATCAAGCATTAGGAACAAAGTAAGCACTGTCTTTGTTCTATCCATTGATTCCCTTGACACTTACAAGATCCTACATATGGCCTCAGGGACTTCCAGTCACTGGGCATACTGCCCTGCCAGGATAAGGCTCTGGGTTGTTTGGAATGGGGAGGAGAGCAGCTATTTTTGCCCTGTGTTCTAGGAAGTCCATTGTCCGCACATTCAGGTTGAGTGACTAGAGGAAAAGTCCTTGGAAAGATGTGGGGACCAAGGAAGCACACTGGGTACAATTTAGAGACCTTCTCCAGGACCTAGTCAATGTACAGAAAGGGTTGGGCAGCAGGTGTTATACTAAGAAGCTATTGGAACTTAACCACCAAACAGTGGCCACTTACCTGTACCTTGCTCTTCTCTTCCCTCCATGTGTCCTCTTCTTCCCTACATTTCCTCTCCTGCAATCTTTTTCCTCATCCGCAGTCCAGCTCTCTTTTTCTGTGACTTTTGGGGCCAGGCTCAGAACAAATACATGATTTAAAAAAACTAAAGCCCGTTGACAGAGTATCTGAATGTGCCCTTTTCTGTTTTATTTTTTATCTTTCCCTTAGCTTCTCTCACCTCCCTAATCATCTTGTCTCTTAGCATCTGATACCTTAACTCACTCACTCATTCATACTCTTTCTTCTTCTGTCATTTGGTCCATTTGTAGGGAGGGGCAGTGTCTTAGTCTAGGTTCTCTAGAGGAGCAAACCCAAGGAAACATATGTGTTTTTACATTGTGTATAAAGAGAGTAAACAAGAGAAAGAGATTGATGTACTTCAAAGAAATGACTCACAACATGGGATCTTGTTGTTAAGTGCCATCGAGTTGGTTCCAACCCATAGCGACCCTGTATAGGGTTTCCAAGGAGCAACTGGTGAGCATGAGCCGCTGACCTTGCAGTTCAAACAACTTTGCAGTCTGGCTCATTAACCCACAGCTCCATACCAGGGCCCCAAGTCCTCAACCCATAGGTCAGGTAGCAGGCTGAAACTTCTGCCGTCTCCATGATTGTGGAACTGGTGAATCCAAAATCTGCATCTCATCACATCATTACATCGCATGACATCATAGTACATTATGAAAGTATAACCCACCTAGCCAAGCTGACATATAACATTAGCCATCACAGGGAGAAATTGCCACTTTTTTGCATTTTTCATTGTTTGAGAAGTCATTTCCTCTCCTGTCTTTGTCCCTTCTCAGTTTTCACATGTACAAATGAATATGGGTCGCATACTGACATAGCAGATTTGGGCATGGGTTTGAGCAGTGGGGAAATTAGGAACACCTTTTGCAAAATTATGGTAAGCAAGGGAAGGCAATGACCATGGGGCAGGAGAAGGCACAAAGGCAGATCCGCCTGAGCATTAGAGTGTCTAAGGAAAGAAAGGAACGCATTGGACAGCTGTCCTAAGAGAGTGATGTGTCTGTGTGGAAGCAAGTGGGTAGAGCCACTGGATCCAAGCATTGTTGGAGAAACTGGCTCCTAACCAGTCAGCATCCAGCATGCCACTGGTAGGTAATTCAGTGATGGGAGGAATGTGGCATTGATGTCTGATAAACTTCCAATTTGCTTATGATTAGGGCAGTGGAAGGGGACAACAAAACACTGTTCACAGTCTTTGATACACTGAAAACTGGTTTGCACAACTATCCATGTTCTAATACCTCTCTTCTAAACCAAAGCCAGAAATCTGGAGGAGGACTAAGCCTTTTCTAGTTAGACCTCAAGTTCACTTCCAAGGACCCTGGCAGACACTGCCTGCTCCCATACCACTCTGGGTATGATTGTTCTTGGTATCTTTCCTCTCTTCCCTGAGGCTCTGCCTGGTACCCCCGCCTCCCTGACTTCTGAATGATGGCATCCGCAGTGTCCATCTCTCTTTTTCTGTGGCCTTTTGGGGTCAGACTCAAAACAAGTATCTGGTTAAAAAACTAAAGTGTGCTGACAATGTGACAAAGACATGGCTTGATGACTTCATCCTTTACACTGGCGCTAAGCTGACTGCCTGGCCTCCGGGAAGACCTGCTCTGTAGTTGAGTTGATCGTGGTGGGTGTGTGCCCTCAACATTGCCCTGTGTAAAGGGGAGGGTCTGGGAGTGCCAGCCCATGGAGACCAGAAGCGGGATCCTTAGCACCGACCCGGCCTTTTCACTCTTTGTTCCTGGCAGCAAAGGGGTGGTCTGGGTTCTCTTGGTCCTTTTCACCCTGTTTTAATGAAAGCCACAGAAGTTCTGTTTCTGGCTGATGTATCTGGCCTGTACCTTTAGATGGAAGTGTTTTTGTATGTCTTGGAGTGAAGTAACTTTTAGGTGTGGCTTGGCTGGGTTTAGGTCATGGGAATAATGATTTAGTGAATTGTGTCTCCATAGAGTGGAAGCTTGGTGATACTGCCCACTCAACCACAAGTGTATTTTTTAACCTGACCTTTCCTGACACTTGCTGTCTCCCTAGGAACACCAAGCGAACAGCCGAAGTGTGGATGGATGAATACAAACAATACTATTATGCTGCCCGGCCTTTCGCCCTGGAGAGACCCTTTGGGAAGTAAGTGTCCTTCTGACTGAGCAGTGCAGAGGGGGAATAACACAGAGGCCAATCGCAAACAGGTCCTGATAGGCCTGTCTGCCAAGGTGATCCTATCTGCTTAGCAGGTCTCTCTGAACCTCTGATCTCTGCCATCCTTATAGCTTCTACTCCATCCTGAGAACACAAAATTTAGGTAGTTCTCATGAAATTATTATATGGCAGCATATGTGGAGCTCAGTTCTTGAAGAAATATTGAATGCTGGATTAAATGTTTAGCTCTCTTCCAGGTTGATATTCCTGAAGACTTCCTTCTCCTTCTCAGACACCCAAGCTTAAATTTCCCTTCTTTCTCAGAAAGATAGGATGCATACAGATGTCTCCTTCGGTAACACTCCAGCCTCATGGGGATAGAAAAGGAAAGAGAAGGAATATTCATCTGCACTTGATGCCATTACATACGTTATAACGTTAATCCTCACAGAACTCTGAGAAGTGGGTTAATGGTTCCTATTTTACAGATGAGAAGACTCGGGCTAAAACAAATATGAAACATATCCCCTATAAGGGAAATATGGGGACTCTAAGCCGTGCTTATCTGTGGTGGAAATACTGTTAACAGATATTGGTGATATTGTAGAGCATCAATAATGTAATTGATGTCAATAAATTGTACCTGTGAAAAAATGTTAAATTAGAAAATGTGTTATATATTTACAAAGATAATCATTTTTTTAACAGAGAGACATGGGAGAAATGCAAAAGTTTCAAACAAACAAAACGAAAACACCACATGTACCTAATTCTGAAACTATATGACATTGCATTACACAACCCAGAGCTGATTTGGGCAGAGAAAATGACAACTTCATTTATGTTATTATTTACATTTCTTTGTGGGTAACCAATGACTAGTCACATGAAGAATGTTGAACAAATTTTTTTGCAACCTAAACTTCATTGGAACCCTGGTGTGGTGCTATGGGCTATTGTGTTGGGCTGCAAGGTCCATTTGAATTTCAAGGTCAGTGGGTGGTTCAAGCTCACCAGCCACTCCTCAGAAACCCTATACAGGGTCTCTGTCGGTCGGAACCAACTCAATGGCACTTAACAACAACAACAAACCTCATTGGTTGGGCCTATCACTACCTTTGAAAATGAGATCTGAACCAGCCAAAATGATTTCTTCCCCAGAAATCATAAAGCTATTCTGTGCCTCCAGACCTCAAAACCTTGCCCTCAAAACCTCCTAGGAAATTCAGTCTCATTGTTCACCAGAATTTTCAATTCACTGGCCATCTCTCCTTTTTTATTCTTCCTTCTTCAGCTTGGGTTCCACAATCTTGCTTACAATGAGTACTTAAAAATTCTTGTCCTTCTGTCTTTAACCCCATTCTCCATCTATTAACCTGGCAAAGTTTTCTCAACCCTGGATGAACCCAACTGTACAGGTTCGCTGTGAATTAGAACTGACTCAACTGCATTTAACAACACCACTCTCCCTAAGCATTTCACATCTCCTTTCACTTTCAATTTCATCTATAAAGGGAAGGTGAGTCATTTGAGAGTGAAGTGGTTCTGTATAGGGTTTCCAAGGAGCAGCTGGGGAGATTGAACCACCGACCTTGTAGTTCAAACCAACCTTGCAGTCCAGTGTTTTTTCCTTGAGCAGCATACCAGGACTCCTTATAGATGAAGTTGTTGTTGTTAAGTGCTGTTGAGTCAGTTCTGACTCATAGTGACCCTGTATAAGGTTTCCAAGGAGCAGCTGGTGAGTTTGAACTGCCAATCTTGTGGTTCAAACCAGCCTCACAGTCCAGTGTTTTATCCTTCAGCATGTCACTAGGACTCCTTATAGATAAATTTGTTAAATGATTTCGAGTCGGTTCCGACTCAGAGCAACCCTGTATAGGGTTTCCGAGGATCCCCTGGTGAGTTTGAACTCCCAACCTTGTGATTTGTAGTCCAGTGGTAATCCTATAGCACCACACCAGGAATCCATAGATGACGTGGTGGTGGTGGTGGTGTGCCGTGGAGTCAGTTCCAACTCATAGCAACCCTGCATAGGTTTTCCGAGGCTGTAAATCTTTACAGGAGCAGAAAGCCTCTTTCTCCCATGGAACGGCTGGTAATTTCAAACTGCTGACCTTGAAGTTAGCAGCCCAACTGGTCATCTTTGCTACCAGAGCCCCTTCTAGATGAAGTAGAAGACATTAACTTCCTGAAACAAACCAACCTATTAACTTCAGTGCAAGAGCACCACCCACCTCTCTGTTTCTCTCAGAGGACAGGATGGGCTTCCTTTGTGTTAGGCCAGCCCTCCTCCTGTACCCTAGGTCTGCCATTCATTCCTGCTTTCATTTATAAATCAACATTGATCTAGCACTCTCTACCTGGATTCATCTCCTCTTGCCTCCTGGAGCAGAGTTTCTCAAACTTTAAAGTACACACAGATCTCCTGAGGATCTGATTCAGGACGTCTACATTTCTAATGAGCTCCTAGAGGTTGAAGTGGTAAGGACCGTGATTTGAGAAGCAAGATTCTAGAGATGGTTCCAAAACTTGTCAGCACGTTGTAATCACCTGGGGTATTTAAAAAATATGTATGCCTGTTGATTTACTTGGTTCAGAGTGTGGCCTGGGCTGTGGAATTGCAAAGGACCCTCAGTGGATTCCTATGTATAACAAGTGCGGGGAATTACTCTTTGTGGGAATCACTGGACTTTACCTTTCAGGTAACTCTCCTCACCCTGATCTCTAAGCTCTTCTCCACTGCATCTCTTCCCACAGCATTTAAACTTATTCAACTATCTTACATCTCTCAAAAATAAGGAAGAACGAGAACAAACTCCTTCAGAACCAAGCTTCTTGACACAGTATCTGCATTCCCAGCATCCCCTGCCCCTTCTCATGTCCTGACAGCCAGCTGAGGCCTTTGTCACCATCCTCTGGGATGGCTCCAACTGCCTCCCTCATTTACCCATGATTCCCTTGGATCTTTTACTATCACACTCTTATGCTATCTCTTAGCATCTGACACTGGATTTTACTTCTACCCTACCCCTCAGGTCTGCTTCTGATCCCCTGACTTCCTTAAGTTTGTAGTCTTGACTTCTGACCCTGCGGCTCAGTCTCATCTGCAGCCTCAATTCCTCTTCCCTTGCATGTTGGTCGTCCCTGAGAGTCTGTCATATGTCCTCTTTTCTTCCTACTACACACTCTTCGTGTCTTTGCCTCTGATGCTCACATTTCTATCTCCAATCTAGTCCAGTCTGTTTTCACCAGTTATCACTGGACATCCCCCTGGATGTCTGCCAGGCTCCTCCAGCCCACCAAACCCTAAACCAAGTCTGCTTCTAAGCCACCTTCCTTGTATCCTGTTGCCCAACTCAGAAATCTGGTATCATCCTCGACTTCTCCCTTCCATATCCAAACCCTGTCCCCGGTCACCTGTGCGAGTTGATTCTGCCTTCTGTGGGCACTGGCCACTCAAGTCCTTGCCAGACACTGAGCATTTGGCATTTTAAACAAATTGTCATCATTTTTGTCCTCATGAAGGTTATAGTCTGGTGGGAAGGCAGGCTGTAAATATAACTTTACAGACAGCTCTTTAAATTACAAGCATAGTTAGTGGGTCATGGGAGAACATTGGGGTGAGGGGGGTAAAGCTGGCAAGGTATGGATGGAACTTGGGTGGGTGCCAGTGATGTCAATAAGGAGAAGTAGAGGGATATGAACCTGTCACTCTCTCTACTCCCACCCTTTGGTCTTCTGAAAGCACCAGCAGCCCCTGGATTTCTGCAACAGCCACATGCCTCCTCTCTCTGTCCCAGGTGCGCCCCCCCCCCCCCATCAGACCCATTCTCTGCTGAATCAGCAAGAAGATGCTCTTAAAATGCAAACACCACTCTGCTCAGAATCTAACAAGTGCATCCCACTGCCTTTAAAATAAAGTCCAAACTCCTCAACAATGCCTCACAGAACCCTTAATGGTCTGTCATCCCCACTCATCTCATTCACTGTCCTCATTAATCCCCCTCCCATGCACAGTCACATACACACACGTATTTTAAGCTCCTTTAGTGATGCCACTGTCAGCAGACTGCTTTTCATCTCCTTGCATTCACTAAATTCTCTTTGCTGTTTCCCCAGTGTGTAGCAGGCCCCTACCACACTCATGTCTGGTTTGTCTAGAGAGCATCTACTCTTCCTTCCACACTCACACTTCTACACTGCCACCCAGACCACCACCAACCCAACAAGCAAGGGTACACCTTGACAGTGGTCACCCTGTACTCATGTACAGTATGTTTCATTGCCTCCTCTCTTGCCTGAAAGCATTAAATCATATCCCAGGGAGGGAACAATGCTTGGCACATAGTAGGTGCTCAGTAAATATTTGATTAATAGATGCATAACCACTCTCAAGAGTCATCCAAAGAACCACATTCTTTGAGGCTGGGGCCATAGTGGGGGTATTTTGACTGCAGAATCCAAAAAGATTGTGAGTAGACTGTGAGGCCCAGAGTGAATTATTAACAAAACAATGAATGTTCTTGCAGCTTTGTTTTTAATGAAAACACCCCCCAAATTCCATTTTCATGTCAACACACAACTTCTTGGTGTCGTTACTGCACCATTGTGAGATATTGCTAAGCGCTTCCATAGCTGTGTCTAGAGCTGTAGAAATCTCTGCTTGCTGAATTTCCCTAGTACCCTTGGGAGAGACGTGGGAGCAAAGCGTGGGCACAGATTTTGATCTGTGCTCCCCAGACTGAGACGTGTTGCTGGTGCCGGCCTCTGACACTCTGTGTTTTATCATTGTGTCTCCCCATCTCCAGCATTGAGAGCAGATTGAACCTGAGGAAGAATCTGCAGTGTGAGAGCTTCAAGTGGTACCTGGAGAATGTCTACCCAGAACTCAGGTATCTTCCTGACAGCTTTGATCCTTGGCTGGCTGTTGGGAAGGGTCCTTAGCAGATTTGGTCGGGAGGAAACAGCCTGTGATCGTCTTGAAGAGCATATTAAGTCTAGGAAGGTTTGGGGAAACAAGTTGGTTTCCCCTACCTTGATGACAAAATTGGAACTGAATTCCCTCTGTATTGTTGTGGTTAGCTGCTGTTGAATTGGTTCCTCATTCATGGTGACAAATGAAACCCTGCCAGTTCAGTCCTGCACCATCCCCATGTTGGACTGCAGATCTGAAGTAGATTGCCCAGTCTTTCTTGGTCTAGAAACTCCTAAAATATATACAGCATCCTAGCAACACACAAGCCTCCACTGTGTGGAGGAATTGAACCTGGGTCTCCTGGATGAAGGTGAGCATTCTATCCCTGAATGACTCATACCCCCTACATCAATGGCATTAGGGGTTCGGTGAGCTAGCTGCAGTATTTCTCAATGGTTAGGGTCTTAAACCCCAGGTTGCAGTCTGAGGACATGACTCTAGTTTCATTCCAGAAATCCCATCTACCCTTGTGTCCCATGAGTCTCTCCTTAGTGTCTGACCCCACACTCAAGAATGCAAATCAGGACAGCACAGTTCATTGAGGTGCCCTGGCCACTGCAACACTCCTCCCCAACAAGCAGCAGATTCTCACCTCTCCCTTGACTTTCCTCTAGGGTCCCCAAGGACTCCTCAATCCAGAAGGGCAATATTCGGCAAAGGCAGAAGTGCCTAGAGACATATAAGCGGAAAAACCAAGAAATCCCCTACCTCAAATTAAGCCCCTGTATCAAGATCAAAAGCGAGGAAGCCAAGTCACAGGTAAGGTAACTGACAGGGATACAAGACCGTCAGACCCAGAGAGGAGGGAGACAGCTGCTCACACAGTTGCGGTTACCTGATTTTACATAGCATCAAGTGTTCAATTATTCTAGAGACAAGCAGAGCATGAGGCATGTGGTTCTCACTCACTCTGCAAATGCCTTGACTCCCCTTGGTTTCCAAACGCATGGAATGTCTCTGAAGGACAGCATCATGCCTATCCAACATTGCCCACTAAATTAGCAGAAATTTTGTGAGTATTTTCGTTGGTGTCCTTCCTGCCTCCAGGATGAAATGCCTGGTATGTGAGTCTTGCACAGATTTACTCCCACATGAAGGTAGTCACAGATTTGGCCAAACCATCAGCATCTTTCATTGTTCCTACCTCTAGGCAGCACCCTGTTTCATACCCTTTCCCCTCAGCAGGACTCTGGCTCTTCCTCTGCTGTGCATTGCTCTCCGCAAGTCCAGAGTAGCCTGCTCAGAAAGGATTGCTTGTGCTTTATTTCATTCATTCACCTCTGTCCTCCCATCCCCTCTGAGGATGGAACTGCAATTTTAAAGGTCACTGCCAAATCCTCAGTCTTACCTCTGTAACACTGCCCAGTTGCCATCCGGTCATCTCTAACTCATTACTACTCCATGTGTGTCAGAGTAACACTGCTTCATGGGCTTTTCAATGGCTGATTTCTGAAAGCAGATCACCAAGCCTTTCTTTCATGACACCTGGTGTTGTTAGGTGCTGTCGTGTCATTTCCAACTCATAGCGACCCTATGCACAACAGAACAAAACACTGACTAGTCCTGCTCCATACTCAAAACTTATGTTTGAGCCCATTGCTGCTGCCACTGTACAAATCCATTTTGTTGGTGATCTTCCTCTTTTTTTGCTTAATCTCCACTTTACCAAGCATAGTGTCTTTCTCCAAGGACTTGTCCCTTCTGACATGTCCAAAAAATGAGAGACAACATATTACCATCCTCGCTACTAAGAGCACTCTGAATGTACTTCCTGCTGTTGTTAGGTGTCATCAAGTCGGTACCACAAAGCAACTCTATGCATAGCAAACAAAACATGGCCGGGTCCTGTGCCAACCCTACAATTGTTGCTACACTCAAGCCCATTGCTGCCGCCATTGTGACAATCCATCTCATTGGGGGTCTTCCTCTTTTTCTCTGACCCTCCATTTTATCAAACATGATATCCTTCTGCAGAGACTGGCCCCTTCTGATAATATGTCTGAAGTATGAGAAATGAAGTCTACCACCAATGCTTCCAAAGAACATTCTGGCTGTACTTCATCCAACACAGATTTGTTTGTACTTTTGGCAGTCCTTGGTACTTTTAATATTCTCCTCCAACATCATAACTCAAATGCATCAATTCTTCTGTGGTCTTCCTTATTCACTGTCCAACTTTCACTTCATATGAGGTTATTGAAAATACCATGGATTGGGTCGGGCGCAGCTTACAGTCCTCAGACTAATATCTTTGCTCTTAAACATTTTGAAGAGGTTGTGTGCAGCACATTTGCCCAAAGCAATACGTCATTTGATTTCTTGACTGCTGCTTCCATGAGTGTTAATGGTTAAGCTGAGCAAATTGAAGTCTTTAACAACTTCAATCTTTTCTCCATTTTTCTTGATGTTGTTTATTGGTCCTGTGATGACATTTTTGTTTTCTTTATATTGAGCGGAAAACCATACTGAAAACTCTGGTCTTTGATCTTCATCAGTCAGTAAACATTTTAAGCCCTCTTCAATTTCAGCAAGCCAGGTTGTACCATCTGCATATCAGAGGTTGTTAATGAGTCTTCCTCCAATCCTGTTGCTACATTCTTCTTCATGTAATCCAGTTCCTCAGTTTATGTATTTAGCATACAGATTGATTAACTAAGGTGAAAGAATACAATCCTGGTACACACCTTTCCTAAATTTAAACCATTCAGTGTTACCCTGTTCTGTTCAAACAACTGCCTTTGGACTAGGTACAAGTTCATCATGAGCACAGTTAAGTGTTCTGGAATACCCATTCTCTACAGTATTGGCCATAGCTTGTTATAATCCACACAATTGAAAGACTTTGCATAGTCAATAAAACATAGGTAAGCATCTTTTTGGTATTCTCTGCTTTCAGCCAAGAGCTGTCTGATGTCAGCAATGATATCCCTTGTTCCATGTCCTCATCTGAATCTGGCTTGAATCTCTGGTAGTTCTCTGTCAATGAAGGGTTACAGCCGTTTTGGAAATATCTTTAGCAAATTTTGCTTGCATGGATATTAATGATATTATCCAATTATTTCTGCATTCCGTTGGATCACTTGTCTTTGGAATAGGCACAAATATGGATTTCTTCTGGTCAGTTGACCAGGTAGCTGTCTTCCAAATTTCTTGGCATAGTGAGTGCCTCCAGCACTGCTTCGGTTTCTTGAAAGATTTCAATTTGCATTCAATCAGTTCTCAGAGCCTTGTTTTTTTCCAATGCCTTCAATGCACCTTGGAGTTCTTCCTCTGTATCATTGGCTCTTGATCATATATTACCTCTTGAAATAGTTGAACAATAACCATTTCTTTTTGGTCCTGTGACTCTTTGTATTCCTTCCATCTTCTTTTGATGCTTTCTGCATCATTCGATATTTTGCCCATAGAATTCTTCAATATTTCAAGGCAAGGCTTAATTTTTTTCTTCAGTTTCCTCAGCTTGAGGAATACTGAGTGTGTTCTTCCCTTTTGGTTTTCTAACTCCAGGTCTTTGCATATTTCATTATCCTATTTGACTTTGTATCCTCAAACTGCTCTTTGAAATTTTCTACTCAGCTCTTTTTACCTCCTTATTTCTTCTATTCGCATTAGATGCTCTACATTCAAGAGCAAGTTTCAGAGTCTCTTCTGACATCCATTTTGGTCTCTTCCTTTTTGCTTGTCTTCTTAATGCTTCTTTTGCTTTCTTGCATATGATGTCCTTGATGTCATCCCATAACTCTTCTGGTCTTCAATCTTTAGTATCTAAGGCATCAAATCTATTCTTCAGATTACATCGAAATTTAGGTGGCATATGCTCAAGGTCATATTTTTGCTCTTGTGGACTTGTTTTAATTTTTTTCAGCTTCAGCCTGAACTTGCATGTGAGCAGTTAATGGTCGGTTCCATAGTTGCCCCTGACCTTGTTTTGGCTGATGATATGGAGCTTTTCCACCATCTCTTTCCACAGATGTAGTCAATTTTATTTCTGTGTATTCCATCCGGTGAGGTCCATGTGTATAGTCTTCTTTTATGTTGTTTTAAAAAGGTAATTGAAATGAAGAAGTCACTGATTTTGCAAAATTTTTATCATGAGCTCTCCTGCATCGTTTCTATCACTGAGGCCATATTTTCCAACTACTGATCCTGTAAGTCAGTATTACTATTATTTTACAGATGATGAAACCAAAGCTCAGAAAGGTGGTGTGTGGTCATATACTAGTAAGTGAAGAAGGCAGGATTTGGCTCCTCAGACTCTCTTGGCAGAGTCACAGCTGCCATAGGACTCTTCTTCTGGGTTATACATAGTAAAACATGGGTTAAGACTCACCTTCATAGGAAATGTCTGACGAGAGGTTCTTCTTGGTCAGTTTCTAGTGGCAACTTCCAGGAGAGGGAAACAAAGGCTGTATCCCCATGCCAGGGCGGGAGAGGGGGCTGTGAGGAGCCAGCCCTTACCCAGCCTCCTCCTTCCCCTGCTGCCTTGTCAACCTTGAGAGCAGATGTTTTTAATCTTCGTGTGTATCGAAGGTGTCAGCACACTGCTGCCTTGGGTGAAATGAGAGAGAAATACATCATCAGTTTGTAAACATGTGCGGCCCCAAAAGTCTCTAGGTTAACAAGTTTCCTCTTAACTTTGCTGGATTCTCCAGAAGGGCAAAAAAAAATGTGAAAGAGAGGAGATAGATGCACCAACCTAATTTCTACCCCAATTTAGAGAAAGAGAGAAACACAAATTAAAAGTATATTTATTATTTTGAGTGTGTTTTTCTACCTGTTTCCCCTGCAATCTAGGCGTTTTAGAAACATGTCAGCTAGATACCCTGGATGGGCAAAATGAAGAGAAAAACTCTTCTCAGAAGCTCAGACTCATCTTGACACCTTTGGCATATAAAGCCTATATCTACTGTGTGTGTTCAGGGTGCGGAGAAGGGGGTTGGAGGCTGGCAGGTCCCCTTCCTGCCTGATGATCCCATCCTTCCTTTCTTTCTCACCTGATCAGTTCTCCTTCCACCACTTATAATAATGCTATCCCTGGAGTGGAGTCCTGGTGTGGAGCTGTGGAATAAAGCACTGGACCACAAGGTCGTGGTTCAAACTCAACAGCCATTCTTCGGAAACCCTATACAGGGTCACTAAGAGTCACAACCAACTCAGTGGAACTTAACCAACTCAGTGGAACCACAATCCCTAGAGTTCATTCCCTGTGCCAGGTGCCAGGGTCCCCATCATCCCATTTGCTTCTTCACAACAACCCCACAATATATTGTTACCCCCATTTACAGTTATGCAACTCTACCAAAGTCTCACATGAGTCAATGCCAGAGCAGGATTGAGACAGGCCAGCTGCCTGCAGCCCAGGCACTGAGACCTAAGCTATAGTTTCTCAGCCTCAACAGTGTTGGTACTGAGACTGGATACTTCTTTGTTATGGGAGCATTCCTGTACATTGGTGGAGATTTAGAGCATCCATAGTTTCGCTCATGAGATACCAATAGCACTTTCTTCCCAGTTATAGCAATCAAAAATGTCACCAGATATTACCAAATGTTCCCTGGGAGCAAAATAGCTCCAGCTGCTCTTGGATGATTGCATCTTACTTATCAGAGTAGGAGATGCCCCATTCCGATCCAATATCATGCTCTCAGTCTGCGCCCCTAACTCCACCCTCATGTCTGCATTATTCAGAATTTTACTTCTCCAATGATCTCCACTTAGGAAAATCTTTCCTCTCTCAACCTCCATCCAGTACAAGATAAGAGAGACGTGACTCCGTTTCCTCCCAGCTTTTGTAGGAACAGTCAAGCCATCACCTCCATACCACCCTCTTCTCCTGCTGACAGTTTCTCCAGAGACTTCCTTATAGTAGGAAGTCCTCACTGCCCTCCCTTCTGCCCCATTCATCCATCTTCTCCTCAGGTAAAAGCTACAGATGCCGTTCAGTCTCCTGCTATGTACTCCTAAGGTGCCCACACCCATGGGTGCTGAATATCCTGTGTATTGGTAAGCTGGAAGGTGGTATCAATCATGGGTTGTGGGTTTGCCATCCCCTAAATGGAAACATCACTAGAAATCCACACTGAGCTGAGCCAGGCAAAGCCAGCTGGAGTGACTGCTGCTTTCTTCCCGGAGCCCATTTCTGACTCCACGATTGTTTGATAAACCCATTAATCACAGCCATTCTGGGAAGTCTAACAGGCCAGAATGGGCATCAGAAAACCTCTCCATGCGTCCCACCCCTGCCGACCCCTGCCTGTTCCTAAGAGTGTCTTATGTCTCCTCTCGTCTCCTCTTCTCTGGCAGATGCTCCGCTATGAAACTAAATTATTTAAATGCTAGTAAAGCACCAGTTAATGGAAGGTCCACTTAGCTTCGATCTGTGTTTGTTCACACACTCTCCTTGGTATTGGGGGTGGGGTTTCTGGGAGATGATTTCCTCAGCCCCTAGGCCTTGGATGTGCCTTATGCATCCTTCCTGAAAGGCACTTCTGGGCAGGGTATCTTAGATGTCAAAAACATCCAGAGTACTTACTGTTCTTGAGGTCCCTAAGATATTAAAGAAGAAATGAAAAGTGGACTTCTAGAGATTGTGGTATACTTTCAGTTTTTATGTTTAATCAGTTAATACTTCTAATATAGAAAAAAATTTGATGCCATTGTCTTGTGATCGTCAGCTAATTGCAGGGTTTATTTTGTAAATGTTAATTCCTGGTTCACTGTAGCAATGGAGTCAGAAAACCAGGCAGAGGAATGGGCCTCATCTCTCACTACCAGAGAAATGTTGGGCCTGTATGTTGAGCCTCATTTTCAGAGAAGGGCAGAAATCTGAAGCCGGTTGTACAGTAGGGTCAGGGCTAATGGTCTCCAGGGGGCCCTACCCTCAGACCTGGGTCTGGGACCCTGCTTTTCGTCCCTCCCTAAAATCTTGAGCCTTCAGTGGGACCCACTCTGCCATCTAGACTACATTTGGATATCTAGGGCCCAAGGATCACCTAGCCACATGGTTTGAGTCTGATTTCAGGATCTGTGTCAGTCTTGCCCCTGGGTCACTAGTACTCATACCTTGGTCCAAGAGAGGCTATAAAAAGGGATCACATGCATGGATGTGCAGGCAATGGACTTCACTGTATGGGACACAGCTCAGGGTGGGATGAAAATGGGGACAGGCACAGGCTGGAGGCTAGCACCGTGAATGTTCCCATGGTCTGACGTGAATCCAAGCAATGTGGGCCTTCACTTACCCTTTTGCATCAATGTCCATAAATGTCAGGAAACGGGCCTCCTTGCTGGCTTGCCTTCCCTCAGCCCCTGACAAGGGGATGCAGCCTTTTTACCTTCTCCGAGGGGTTGTCACTAGAAACTGACCAAGAAAAATCTCTTGGCAGACGTCTCTTGTGGAGACAGCTCTGATCCATATTTTTAAGTATTTATCACCCTGAAGAGGAATCTCAGGGACAGCTGTCTTTTCCTATGAGCTCTGGAACCAGCTGTGACTCAGTCGGGGTCATCAGGAGCAGAGCTGTTAGAGTGTGGGTTTGAAGACCAGTTACTGGTATATGACCATATACCACCTCTATGAATGAGCCTTAGTTTAATTATCTGCAAAATGGGAATGCAAAGACCGTGTGGAAGTCATGTGTGACTTCCCCTGGCTTCACAAAGGAGAAAGAGAATCAAACTCAAAATCAGCCCAAGACTGATTACTGCATGAAGTGGAGGTCAGACATGCTTCTACCCTATAACTTTCTTTACCCTATTCTGACACCAACCATTCTTCCCATAGCACTCTGCTTCACATCTGGGTTCCATAATCCATTGCAATGGCCACACAGAGCTCATAACAATACTCATGATTATGGGGTTTATTAGGAAAATTAACAGGGTACAATTCAGGATCAAAACCAACTCAGGATGCACCAGATCTCCAGTCAGGAATGTCTCTTCTTATCTGTCATACTGCAGGCATGCCTCACTCTTTATTTCAGCCTCTTAGCCATGTGGTTTCTTGACCTTTGCCCTGCTCCCTCAAGTAATACAACCTTCTTTTAGCCAGTCTGTGATTGCCAGAAGGGCATATTCTTCAAGCTAGTCTCCTGCCCATAGGCATTCAGCTTTCCTCAGTCCATAGTTCTAGAGCCTGAAGATACTCTGCTTCTCCATGCCACCACCTCTGCCATCATCTCTGCTGTCACTTCTGTCATCACCTCTGTCATCGTGGTTCCTAGGTAGGGATCTTAGGCTTCACTCATGCTCTTCCTTCTTGATGGTCCTGTAATCTTCTGTCTCTACTTCTGAGACCACTCCTTTTGAACCTAGCTTGAGGACAAAACTAACCAATCCCAGCCTTAAGCGTCCTTAGATTTGCATATTCCCAGCTAATTACTTGGTGAGAATTAAGACTTTGGATAGAAAAACCATATCAAGTAAATTCAAGGCACCACAGGGGATAACGGAAATAACTACATAATAGGAGTCTTATAAGGATTAGATTAACCAATGGAATTAATGCAGCTCTTCAAATAATGCCTAGCACATCATCAGTGCTCAGTAAATGTAAGCTACGATTAGCAGTATCATCATCATGATTCTAACATCACCCCAATGTGTTCAAACTTCTTTCCCCTTTCAACGGATCCTGGAGGAAGGCAGATGGTATGTATGTGTAGGAGAATGGCCAGCAAAGAACTTCTTGATATGTTTTAATAAGAATTTTATTCTAGAAAATTTCAAATCCATATTAACACAGAAGTTGAAAGTATTATAGAAAGAACCCCCCAGTTACTGTTGCCAAGCTTCAATAATTGTCAGCTCACAAGCAATCTTTTTCTTTTTCATTGTGAATTGGGTGACGGTTTACAAAGCAGATCATCAGTTTACATTCAACAAATCATACACTTCGTTTCATCTCAATGATTGCATTCCCCTCAGTGAAACATCACTTATCCCATTTCCTCCCTGTGTTTCGTGTTTCCATTCCTCCTTCTTTCCCAACCCTTCTGAACTTTGTCTTTGGGTAAATGTTGTTGTTTTTAAGTGCCATCGAGTCGATTCCGATCCATAGCAACCCTGTCTAGGGTTTCCAAGGAGCAGCTGCTGAACTTGAACCGCCAACCTGTGCAGTTCGAATGACATTGCAGTCTGATGCATTAGCCCACAGCGCCACACCAGGACTCCACTGCCCCCTTTATCTCAAATGGCTGCCTATTCTATGGTGTACATACCTCACTAGAGTTGTTATTCCCCTAACCCTCTGGATATTTATTGTTTTTGTTAAGTGTCATCAAGTTGGTTCCAACTCATAGCAACCAGGAGACCAGGCAGGCAGGGAGGGGCCAGAATGAGAGACAGTGGACAGCACTGTGTCAGCTTAGGGGGCACCTGGTCCTGGAGCAGGGGGAACTGATCTGCTACGGGCCCTTTTTTCATTCTTGGGCCAAGGAGAAATAGCTCAAAATGACCTGGTTTAGAGGCTAAGGTCAGCTGGTCATCAGATATACTAGAGGGGAGAATATACAACCTTAATAGGGTCCTTCCTGAATGCTCCCCTCAGAGGATCTGATCTGAGAACCACCTTCAGTGGCCCCTAGGCCCCTATACACTCTGACATAATTCTGTTCTTCATAACTGTCTTCTTTCCCACTCAGTTCCTCTCCCACACTTTCCCTTGGAACACTTCCTCGTGCCCTTTGCCACTGTGTTTGCCTCAGCATAGCTGTGTGTTCTCAGACATTGGTTTGGATCCCCTTTCACCCAAAAGGGGATGTTCTCCTGACCTGCCAAGGAGTTGTTGGAAATGCCAAGTGTGAGAACAGGTTATGACCAAAACATTTCTTCCAAGTAAAGAAAGTCAAGACTGAGCAGTGTGCTGGGGTGTTGTCCACATTCCCTCCCAAAGTCCAGTATTGTTCAGCAACTGCCAAAGGTAGCCTGGGGGCCCTAGATCCAGCCCCTTTCCCAGAATGTGGGTACAGATGCCTCAGTGGGAATGTGACCTCTGGGTTTCTGACATTTAAATAGCATTTTCCCAGGGGACCTTGTTCACAGTCAATTCTAACCAAGACCACACCATCTCATCCCTGTGCTTACCTCAGTACGTTTTACCATGCCGTAAGGATTATGACACCTAGTCACAGTGTATCCAAGGAGTGCTGGCTTCTAAGGATCCCTGCCAACCTCCCCTGCTCTCTTCCCCCAGGTGTGGGCCTTCACATACACCCAGCAGATCCTCCAGGAGGAGCTGTGCCTCTCGGTCATCACCTTCTTCCCTGGCGCCCCTGTGGTTCTTGTGCTTTGCAAGAATGGAGATGACAAACAGGTAAGTGGTCAGAGGTCCCGCCCTTGGGCAGGGCAGCCTTCAGTAACAGGACTGTCATGTGGGCCTAGGAAGAGAGGAAGTGTTTGGGGCAACAGGAAGAGTTGATAAGAAAAGGGTTGCTGTGATGATTTGTGGAGGGAGATGCTGGCCCTGATACCTCCTGAGGGGCAGCCATCAGTGACAGATCCCCTCCTGGGGCAGCTGGTCCCCTGAAAGACTGCAAGCCTCACCAGACCTCAACATACAGACTGACTCATGCCTTCCTGTCCTGTCCTGTCATTGCCCTGACCCCTGTCTGGGACCCCAGATGAGGAGAGCTCTGGGGTGAGGCCTTTAGAACCTCAAGAATGAACAAGGCCTTTGCCTCCAGGAAACTTGAGCTCTGTCCATATCGCCATCAAAGTACTGAGCATTGCATGCCTAGGGGCCTAGTTCCTCCAGCAGTAAGGTATTGGCTCAGTTCAGTTTTCGTAGGGTGTTGGAGTCGGAGAGACCAAGATCCGATGCCTGCTCTGTGACTGGCTGTGTGACTCTGGGAAAGCTGCTTGACGCCTCTGAGCTTCAGTTTCCTCGTTTATGAAATGAGGTTGATGATGTTCATCATAAGCCACTGCCATCGAGTCAACTCCAACTCATAGCAACACCATACAGTGTTTCTGAACTGAGGCTATAGATCTTTATAGGAACAAAAGGCCTCCTCTTCCTCCCAGTGGAGCAATGGTGGGTTTTGAACTGCCACCCTTGTGGTTAGCAGTCCAGTGCTTATTGTACAGCACCACGGGAGCTCCTTCATGTTCACCATTGTTGTTAAGTCTGTTCCAACTCATACAACCCTATTTAAGGTTTCTGAGGAGCAGCTGGAGGGCTTGAACCACCAACCTTGTGGTTCATAATCCAGTGCTTTTCCTACAGAGCCACATCATGGCCACCATATGCTGTTATTACGTGCCATTGAATTGGTTCCAACCCATAGCAATCCTGTATAGGATTTAACAGCTGGTGAGCTTGAACCGCCAACCTTGCAGTTCAAACCAACTTTGCAATCCAGAGCATTAATCCACAGCGCCATACCAGAACTCCATGGAGGGTAGCTATTCACAGCCATTAAATGAAGTACAGAGCTCAGCACCTTATAAATGGCAGCTCCCCGGCACATATCCATCCCTTCACTCCTCCTTCTAGGGAGTAAAGTCTGAGAAACAGCAGCACTTCTTCTTGGGCACATTATGTGCTGCAGCATTTTTGGAGAAGCAGAGGTTTAACTGTGGGGGTGCTGCTCAGGCACCCCTACCCCTTCTCCCATTGCCCTCCCTGCTCCCAAACCTCCCCAGCTTGCTCCCATTTCTTTCTAATGCTGCAAGTACCACACCTGGATTTCTTTTTTCTTTCTTTTTTTTTTTTTGGTTGCTTTGTGACTAACTCGCTTCACATTCTCTGGCCTATTTGACTAGAAAGTTATTACCTCCAAAGGATTTTTTTTTTTTTAAGCAAACATATCGATTTTGCTTTTCTTTTTGAAATCCAATTTTTTTCAAAAAATAAAAACAAGAGCTGGCAGCGCCGTTAAATTAGCGGAAGTGTCATTCCTCCATGAGACTGTGAAGTCAGTTCTCTGAGGGCCCCTAGGCATGGCGTGTAAGCATCTTCGATTTTGCTGGAAGAGATACTTGTTCATACTTTCTCCTCTCTGCCCTCTCAGCAATGGACCAAGACTGGCTCCCACATCGAGCACAAGGCCTCGCACCTCTGCCTGGACACAGACATGTTTGGTGAGGGCACTGAGAACAGCGGGGAGATCGTCGTCAACCCCTGTGAGTCCTCACTGATGAGCCAACACTGGGACATGGTGAGCTCCTGAGGGGCCTCCTGGCATGAAGCAGACTGGAAATCAGGCTGTGACTAGCCCACAGCTGTTCCAGACGCTCTCAACTGGGAGGCTGGGGCATAGCCACCCAGGACAGGAGCGGCTGTCTCAGGGAGGATGGTGGAAAAGACTACAAGCTACATCGGGCTCAGAGACACACCCCACATGTTTTCAGTGTGTTGAATTCCAGTCCTGGCCATGTTTCCTAACTGGTATCCACAGATGGATGATCTAATGGAAAGTGTGTGTTGTTACCTTGGGGAGGCCAGGACTATACTGACCAATGAAGAATGCAAGTTGTTTTCAGAACAAATAAAGGTAACCTCAGTTGTTTTCTCTGCATATCTCACCTGTTCCTTTTTTCTACGTAAATTAACTAAGGACTAGACTAAGTTCTTCATCTCATGGGGTGGGGGTGTGCAGAGGGGACAAAGGAGATGAATGGGACACAGGAAACCTGTGTTTCTGTCCTGATTCTGCCACCAACTAGTTGAGTGATCTTTAAAAGGCAGAGAACTTCTCTGGCCTCCTTTTCCTATTATGCTTGAGTGGGGAAATAGGGCCAGGTCGGTGGTTTTTACACAGGGATATCCAATTTGACTCATCTGGGGCAATTTTTATCTAGTTCAGATGCTCCCCACCTGTGGGGATCCTGACTCAGTAGGTCCAGGGTGGGGTCCAGGGTCTTAGCTGATTTTGACTCACTGCTTGCTTTAGAGCACTAGACAGTCTTTTGCTCCCTATTACCTTATAGTCTGTGGCCATTCACCGAGGAGTTTCTTCCTCTAAATCCCCAGACTGCCAGTGTGTTCCAGGAATTGGGCACTATGGCTGCATACTCTTCTTAACGAGGCTGTAAGAGAACAATCAATCCATATTGTTTCACCCAGTGCTATTGAGTTGATTCCAACTCTTAACAACCCTATACAGCAGAGTCAAGCCGCTCCTTAGGGTTTCTGAGGCAAGAAAAGTAGACTGACTCATCGTTCTCCCACAAGACGCTGGTAAGTTCGAACTACCAACATTATAGTCAACAGCCCAACTCTTTACCCACGGTGCCACCGGGGCTCCTGTATTGTTTTAATGTTTCCAAAGTATGCTTGTACTTTCTTTGCTAAGGTAGGCAGGCTGTTTAGTAACTGTCTCAGCTATCTATTGTTTAACAAATCACCTTAAAATTTAACAGCTTAAAGCATCACACATTTCTTATCTCATGGTTTCTGTGGATCAGGAGACCAGACACAGCTTAGCGAAATGAAGAATGTGTGCTTGAGGATCTCATACAAGGCTACAACCAAGGTGCACTGGGCCACAGTCATCTTCAGGTCAAACTGGGGCCGTATGGGTTCCCAGGTCATTCGGCATAATTCAGTCCTTCCAGAATGTTGGCCAGAGGCCACCCTCTGATCCTCCCCACATGAGCGTCTCCAACATGGCACTGGCTTCACCAGAGTGAGCAAACCGAGAAGCAGGAGTGCTGGAGTGAGAGAGAGAGAGAGAGAGTGCTAGAAAGTCAGAGTCGCATAACCACATCACAGCCTAATCTCAGAAATGACCACCCATCACTCTTGTCATAAGGTGACATAGTGGTTACGTACTCTATGAGTAACCCCAAGGTCATCGTTTCAAACCCAACAGCTGCTCCATGGAAGAAAGATGAGGGGCAATCAGCTCTGTAAAGATTACAGCCATGGAAACCCGTTGTTGTTGTTAAGAGCTGTCGAGTCGGTTCTGACTCATAGCAGGTCTGTTGAGGGTTTGAATCACTAACCTGGTAGTTAGCGATTCTATGCTTATCCTGCAGCTCCACATGAGAGTCCTGCCCTACACGGTCACTATGTGTCATAATTGACTCTGTGGCATTAGGTTTGGTTTTTGGTTTTACGCTTTCCATAGCCCATCGCTGGAAGCAAGTTACTAGGTCCAGCCCACACTCAAGGGAAGGGGATTTACCCAAGAGAGTGAATGCGAGGAGATGGGGCTTGCGGGGTGATGGAGAGTCATTTTAGAATCAGCCTACCAAAGTAACTATTATATTCTGCATGGGTATCGGTCTCACCTTCATCCAGAAAACTCTTCAGTGATGACAGTGGTCCAAACTCATCACTAGAGAATTCATTACCGTGAATGGCTACAGGCTTAGAAGTGAAAGCCTGAGAGTGTCCAGACCCGGAATCTCCTCTGGAGGTTTGGTTGTTATGCTATCCTTCCATTACCTCCTTTACTTGTGATTAGACTCTTTTGTTAGGACTAGTTCACTTAGCACTGTGAAGAAGACAGGAGGCTGTGTGATAGATAAAGACATCTATAAAAGAAGACATTCTCATGGCTACTTAAGTTACATATCCACAGGACTCAACCCAGCCTTGCTTGGAAGAAAGAGAACAGGCAAGTTGGCCAGCATCCTTTCTTCTATGTAGGTGGAACAGGTACTCTGCCAAAATAGATGAAAATAGAGGCTTGTATTGACTTCATCTATATGTTTTCCTAGCTCTGTATGTGTCTGTCATTGAGTTTCTTGGTGGCAGGAAAGCTGTTTTGTCTATCTTGATCTCTAGCACTCAGTGTGTCTCTGAGCTCCCTGAATATTTTCTTAATTGGAGGATATAAAGACCTAATCCTTGCCCAAGATTAAGTAACTTTAATTCCATGTTACTACCTCTCTGGAGTCCGGGTGTGTGTAGTGCACCAGATGGCAAGGTCAGTTTGAACTACAAGGTCAGCAGTTCAAAACCATCAGTCGCTCCTCAGAAACCTTAGACAGTTGCTGTGTGTCGGAACTGACTCTGTGGTACTTAACAACAACAACCTCTCTGTCAGGACTTATGGTATTGTGCTGTAGGATATGCAATGGACTACTAACCACAAGGTCAGCAGTTCAAACACATCAGCTGCTCCTCGGAAATCTATACAGGGTTGCTATGATTCCAAACCAACTCAGTGACACTTAACAACAACAAAACCCTCTCTCCCAAAAACCTAAAGAGCCCTGTGGTGCTTTACATTGGGCACTTGGCTGCTAAACCCACTGTTGGGAAAAACATGAAACTGTCTGCTCCCATCAAGATTTATTGACTACATGGCAGTCCTTTTGGTTTGAGTCTGTCAGACACCTAAGGAAAAAGGAAGAGCCTGGCACCATGTTGAATATGAGACTCTCTTAAGGCACTTCATTTGTTTATGTGCTTTGTAATTTCACTCTGTCAGCTCATCTTCAGTGGGAATGTTTGTCCTCTGGATATCCCATGTGCTCTGGTTGTGGAGGCGTGCCACTGGGAAGGTTCAAGTTTACCTCAGCTGATTTCACTGATTCCAAACCAATTTGTACATGGATGTCTCCATTTGTAGTTCCCACATTGTGAAAACAATGAGAATTTGAGCACATACCTGATGTTGTGATTCTGCTTCCATGACATCACCACTTGCCCAGCTGAAAGATGGGTTTCAGCTAGCCCTTCTAGGCATCCCACTATAGTAGGGTACCAATTCTGGCCCTGGACATCCATGAGGCTTTTGTTCTTCGTCTGCCTCTGCCCTCATAACATATGTCTGGCTTCAATTCCCCTTCAGCTGTCTTGCCACTGTGGTTGTAAATTCCCACTTGTTTCTGGATTTGGAGTTTCCCCCTTTTTTTCTTTTCAAATGTCACTGTGATTTTAAATTATTTTTTTTGTGTTTTACCCAGTATGTGTCTATGTCAGAGATGGAAGGGTACTCTTTGTCAGTTCAGACCAAGAGTCTTTAGTGCTATAATGAACTGTCACCCTGTCCCACTTGCTAGGGGACCATATCTTACTGTAGACATTCAATAAATCTTTGTGAGTGAGAGAGATAATAAGCTTGTGATTCTTTAGTACCACTTCCTAATTACCTCCCGGCTGCAGTTATCAGACATTCGAGTTTTAAAAAGACAGCAAAGACAGAAATGGAGGGATGAGAAGGCAAATTTATAACAATGAAATCTCGTTATAATAAACATAGATTTAGGGATCATGCATATTTTACTTCATAATGACAGAGTTTAATACTGAAAATGCTAACTGAAAAGAAATACTAGTAATGGAAATCTTTAATACTGCACTAGAGCCCAGCGAGAGAGAACGTGTCCCCATAAACCCAGGAGAAGGAAGGGTGGGCGGGGAGCACTTGTATTTCATACATAGGGGTTGCCTGCGTCTTCACTGACTTCTGGCTACCTGAGTTCAAGCTTACTTTTGGGATTTCAGTAGATCTTCCACCATAGTTGACCTACAGTGGCAGTGACGCCCCTTCTCTTCCCTGCTCCATCGTGCCTGGAGAGACAGTGCCCTAGCTTACCTACACCCTAACTCATGGTAGCACCTGGAACCCAGAGGGAATGGTGGCAGTAGGAGGCTTACGTGAAAGACCTAGGAGCTATGAAGATGTAGTGGCCTCTAGGACTTCCACAGGTGGGGCTGGGAGCCTCTCCTTCTACAACCTGCAGCACCAAACCTTCCAAGCTCCCTCATGGTCTGTGGTCTCATGCAACCCAACTTGAGGATTAGCAAAATCCGAAGCTACAAGCACTTTTCCATTTGCCATGGAGCTGGATAATTTAATGAAGCCGTCACAGTGCAAACCTCAGGGCTTATTGGAAAAGGACTGGAGCGCACGGCATTATTTCACAGCAGTAGATTGCATCATTTTCATTTCACAGCTTTCCAACGGGAAATAATAAAACAAAATTACAAACATAATGAAGAAAGAAAGGAGGGAAAAAAAAGTGGGTGAAAGACATAACCCCTGTACTGTGACAGAGCTGGTTACCATATTCATTTGAGCCAGTAAAGATTACCTGTGAATGCGCCCTGCAGGAAGGAGCAGCCCGGGCGCCTCCACCTGCTACCGAAGATAATGCGCTGCAATAACTCACTATCCAGACGCCCCTGCAGATGGACTTCCAGAGCCCTCTTCGGGATCCTAGTCTCTGAGGGCTCAGTGCATTGGTGATGGAGGATGGGCTGCTATTGGTG